TGTGGCCAAGAAGGCCAATGGTATGCTGGGGTGCATTAGGCAGAGTGTTGCCAGCAGGTCGAGGGAGGTGATCCTGGCCCTCTCCTCAGCCCTGGGGAGGCCACATCTGGAGTACTGTGTCCAATTCTGGGCTCCCCAGGACAAGAGAGACATGGCCCTACTGGAAGAGTGCAGCAGAGGGCTACAAAGAGGATGAGGGGACTGAAGCATCTCTCCTCTGCAGAAAGGCTGAGCGGGCTGGGCCTCTTTAGCCTGGAGAAGAGAAGACTGAGAGGCGGTCTGATCAATGTGTACAAGTATTGATCAGGGGGGGTGTCGAGAGGATGGGGCCAGTCTCTTCTCCGTGGTGCCCAGCGACAGGACAAGAGGCAACGGGCAGAAACTGAACCACAGGAAGTTCCATCTGAACAGGAGGAAAAACTCCTTGACTGTGAGGGTGATAGAGGGCACAGGTTGCCCAGAGAGGTAGTGGAGTCTCCTTCGCTGGAGACCTTCAAAACCCGTCTGGATGCGATCCTGGGAAATATGCTGTAGAGGACCCTGCTTGAGCAGGGGGGTGGGACTAGATGATCCCCGGAGGTCCCTTCCAACCTCAACCATTCTGTGATAACCTAACCATGCAGAGCATTGCAGGACATTTTTCTGTTGATAGTTGGGTGTCTTCTTGTATCTGCAGACCTACTTTACACAATTGCCTGTAGCGCACTTTTGATTATAATTTAAATACAGCAGTGGTGAGCAGAAAACATGTCCAATAATATTAGATAAAGAGATTTCTTGTTTAATGGAGGAGCCAGAAAATTCCCTGAGAAAAACAAAAGTAATTCATAGTGTGGGCAGTGGTCCAGGTATTAATTTAAAAAAACTTAGTCTGAAGTTTTGATTGTAGGTAAAATTACAACCTAGCCATAGTTCCATTTCTATATGGAAACGCAGCATGTCTCCAAATGTAACTTACTGAAGAATTTAAGGTATGCATGTCCAATAACATGATAAATTGCTAGAATACAGGGTATTAGAGTATATTTGAAACAGAGGAGACAGTTACATGTGAGATCTTTCACCTCAGGAAGAGCAATGTCACCAAAATGCTTATTGACGCTTCTTGAAAACGCTTGCTTACACTTTTAAGAAAATATCAAAATAATAATTTGATGAATTTAATATAATTATGTTTAAATAAAAAATGTCATTTTTATTTAACAATTTTTTTCTTCTGTCTTAGAAACTACAGTTATCAAATACAAACCCTTAACACAGATCTAAGTTAAATGCCAATGACACAGATTTAAGTTAAATGCCAATGATACTCTGTCATAACAAATGATATGTATAAACTGGTTTTATCAAAATGCATATAAAAGGCAGATGTAAAATATTTTATGTGATTATTTTTATTGTTTAAACATCAAGTAATATAAATCTATGTATCCCAAAATAGATCAAATGTAGTCAGGAAAAACTGTTCAGATTCCAAATAAGTATACTCAGTGACTGGAAACCTTTTTGGTCCTGAGTGCTAGGGTTTTTTTTTTTTTTTAAATTCCCATAGTTTCTAATCATGGGCAATAAACTCATGCTCTTCTTATTTTCATCTCTTTATTATTACTCTAACTGATTTTTACTGAGAGGTGGAAATTCTAGGGTTACAATTTGAGCAAAATATCAATCTGACTTTTTCAGAGAGTTGTTGAAAGCTCTGAAAGTAAAGACCTGTAATCCCTCACACGGATTGTATTAGAAAATGTTAATCACTAAATATTTAATGTAGCTTATTTTGCTTATCAATCAGCTACTCTTTCTCTTTGAAAGCAGTAGGTTTGTAATGTGATGTGCTGCATCCCTATGTGGTTTTATCTGTCATTTACCCTCTAATAGCTTTTGAATGTATTGATGAAATTCAACCTCCTTTGTCCAAGTAGTGGGTCTCAAAAGATAATGGGTTCCTCGGGCTTCTTGAAAATAAGCCCCAAAAAAGGGAGTTTCTTTAAGAAGAGGTAGAGCAGCTGCTCACCAGAGTCAGTACTGTTGAACAGCCTCAGGTCCTAGATCACAAGAAAGCAGACACTCTTCTGCTTCCACAGCAACTATATTTAACAGAAATGCTGAAAATACTGGCATCTGAAAATCTCAAAATACCATTTAATTTACCTGTCTAGGTATCCAGGGAGTACCCAGCTAGGAATTTATTTTCTAAATATATAAAAATATGAAACTGAGATTTATTCGTATTTGTCCCTACAAACTTTACACGTCTTAGCGGTGACAGGCTATATCATTTGAATCTTGCGAAATGCTGTTACATCTAAAATTATCGGAATATCAGCAAGTACCACAATACTATTTCAGTCTTTTGAACAAGGGATCAGTGGGGCCTCAGAGAGCTGTGAGTGAGGATCAGGCTGCTTGTTCTCAAGACAGTCCGATGTCACTAGAGGTCCAGGACCTGTCGCTGGAGACTCCACCTTTTACCCCTGTAGCACAAAATAGTACTAGAATCACTGAGCTGCTTCTGCATCTCCTGTTTGCTGGGACCTCCTTTCCTAGCCTGGCCCTTCCTCCAGCCACATGCAAGTGACAGTTCTGCTCTGACATTTGGTGGGAGAAGGAAAGAGCACTTATAATTGTATAGTGACTGATGCTAATGTATTAAAGTATTGATACAGATGCTGTATTCCTCAATCAGTTTAGTTTTACATCTGTAGTTCCAGGTCTAATTCTTTTCCCGACATCCTTTCCTTTTCTTCCACTGCCTTTTTTTTTTAAATGTGTGCACTCAAGTCTTTCTATCTGTATGTGGTTCTCCTTGCACTGATTCAAGCTTGCCTCACATTCAGCTTCCATCAGATTTAGGCCTTTATAAATCATTGACCATGCTCAGTATATGCCTAACCTGTAGATTCATGCCCTGTTATTTTAAGTAAGCCCCGAGTTGTCCTCAAATCACAGTTTGTGCATTAATAGTATCAGAACTTTATTAAGCCAAACTGCACTGCGAAAAACTTGTCTTGGAGGACAATTTATGGGTGCAGCTGATTGTGCCTATCGTAAGTAAAAGTGAAACAAAAGCCATTACCAAATCAGGTTCTTAGGTAAAAAGAGGACAAGGTCCAAGGGAGAAATTTCAAAGGTTATTTAAGAAAAAGGAAAATTGAGGTGTTTTCAAAATTTTTACAGCCAATAAAAGAGAGGACTTGGGAAAGGAAAGCAAGAAATGGAGTTTTATGTTGATTTTAGAAAATTTACCACATTTTGCAGGCCTTTATTTCCAGACTGAAATGATAACATGCTACCATAATGAGCTAAGAATACTGTGCCATGGAATCCGTCTTCCAGATGACACCAGGTTACTTTTACACCATGATCCTCTAATCGTTTCTTGTACAGCAGTCCATCGTCTCTAAGCACATCAAATTCACATGTCAAAATGAAAGCCTCAGGAAGCTGAGGAATAACAGTATCTTCAGCTAGTAGAGGTGAAAAAACTGGGTCAAAAATAGGCTTTGCTTTTGCATAGAGTTCTTCTGAGGATGGATATATTTTTCTTGGTTTGTAGCCTCTTGTTTTAAACTCTTCAGGGATGTTGTCAGGACTCAGCCATTTCTGATATTTCAATTGCAAATCCTCTGGAACATGAACACCTTTAAAGATCTCATTCATGACTGACAAGTCTTTATTGAGATATTTCAAACCAAGAATGAGGGTTCGTTCCTTTAACAAAACGGGCACTCCTTTGTTCTGCTGATAAGAAGGCAAATTAAAGTCTACGCCTTGGAGAAAAGGATATATTAGGATTTGTGCTCTCAGCTTTGGGAGGTCTTTTCTGTTCACCATTGCTTGGGCAACAGCAGCAGTGAGTGTACCTCCACTGCTGTCTCCGCAGATGACAACACGAGTAGGGTCTACTCCATAGTCTTCTGCAGTCCTCAAAAAGTGTGTTGTGGCAGCGAGACAGTCCTCAAACTGAGCTGGATATGGGTACTCAGGAGCTAAGCGATACCTGAATATGAGGGAAAGTCTTTTTAACGTAGTCATATCTAATGAATGGTCCTGTTGCCATCTTTTCATTCCTATACTTTCTGAAGGTAGGAAAATATTCTGAAATCAATAGAATTCTGTTAGTGAAATTATTATTACCTATGATGTCCTAGTTGCTGCTATTGCTATTGTTTAGAGAGGTTTTGGTACGTTATTCTATAACTGTAGAATACATCCTGTAATTACTTGTCTTTTAGGTGACTAAAGGCATGCACTGAGTTATTCTGGAATTAGCTGTCAAGGCATGGATGTATGAATCAGTTAATCAGCTGTTCTAGTTAGAAATCAAAGCAAAAAATTCCCAACAAAATATTAGAAAATGAGAGCTTAGAAAAATTATAATGAAAATATGAAAGATTTTCTATGTTTTTTCTGTAGACTGAATTTTTTAATGAACATAGTCAATAAGAACCAATGACTCTTAAAGCATTTTAGGATTTAAGGAGCAATTAGTGCAATTTTAATCAAATTCCAAGACAAAAACTTTTTTCCTGAACTCTTAAAAATTGATTCTCTAAAAGTCTATTACAGCTCATCAGACTAAGTTTTAAAATGCTTATCTCAGGTAGTGATTCTTTCTAAGTTGTTAGTGCTGGTGAAACACATGTGATCATTAAATGTTAAGTGCTCTGGGCAGTGTTTGCAGTGAACCTGGCTTGCCCTGATTAGGCATTAAAGACTTAAAAACCTAGAAGGAGACACAGATGGCTGGGACTGTGTGTGTGGCTGAACTGAGTCCACTTACCCAACAGATACAACCACTGAATTGCTTTTTCTAGCGAAATAGCGGCATGTTCTTTCATAGGCCCCTGTAAAACAAAATATTTCAATGGAATTGTAACTTGCTTTGAAAATAATTCACATTAAAATATTCTGAAATTCTTATCTCAGTTCTGTGAATAAAGCTACACTGTAATTCTCCTGTTGGTGGCATGGTGTAAGCTAGACATTGTTCACAGTTTCATTGTTTGTGGGAATCTTCTTGCCAGTAAGAAAGCAAGAATTTATACCACTGCCTTTTTTTGATCTGCTCTGTGGAAAAGCTAACAGAAGGCACCATTGCTACCACGAGTAAAGTAACATTGAAGATGAGAGGTTATTAAAAAGAACTGTTAAACACTGTCAAACATTTAGCACAACAGTTTTTCTCATGCATGAGATGCCATCTAATTTCTCACGCCTTTCCATTTCAAAATGCAATTTTTTTCCTTTTTTGCCACTGTAAAGACACGCTACCGTGTTCACATGTACATGCAAGCTTATGCACACAGACAAAAACAAACTGAATTCTTTAAGGAGTAAAACTACAATGAGATGTTTTCAGTATTCGCATAAGCAGCAGGGAGCAGAAGGGGAAAAAAAAAAAATAATTTCTCACGCCTTTCCATTTCTTGATCAGAATAAAATCCTAGATACCTGATCTGTTAATTTAACATGGTGCCTACTACATGTAAATAAAATTATTCTGCCATCCTGAGGTAAATTTTGTTATTTGTAATGTTTAACTTATTAATTTTTCTTGTCATTCAAGAAATACCATGTCAGGTCAGCAACTAGACAGTGTTTGTAGTTATAGTTTGTGTTGTTTGAATTTCTTACAAATGCTTCCAAACAGTCCAACTCCTCCATGAAAATAAAGAACTCCTCTTCTTTGGCCAGTGGTTGGTATTTTTGGCTGGTAAATTCTTACTTGAACCTTTTCAAACCTCAGGTCCTTGATGAGAAGACGATTATCTTTTAATGGTGGTAGTCCATCCATTGTAACCCTGAGGACATGGACCTCTGTGGTGAGACCTACTTTTTCTAAAAATTTTGCCTGTTAATAAAGGGGGGGGAAAACACAAATTAGTGCAGATTTCCATCGTACCTGGAGAATAATCACAAAAAACTTACATTTCCGTGGTCAGTTCAAACTCTGTCTCCTCAGGGTTCTGAGAACAAAGTGGCCAGTTACGATGGGGGTGTGGATACATCTTCATTGTAATGTCCTACCTACCAGTGTCTGAAATTCAAAGACGGTAGATTTGACAGGAATGGATGAACTTATCTTCTGTAGCTGCCTGAGAAGAACCTTCTGCCCTGCCTCCATGCTCCTCTGAAAGCAAGAGCCAAGAGCCTGGCTGAGAGTCTCTTGCAGAGGTAGAATCACAGTAATTGGCTCACTAGTATTATCTTGCTTCAGCAAGAGCCCAATCTGTTGTGAAATCAGTCGAAAGCTGAAGAAAATAGGATGGTAGATGGCTGCTAAAGGGGTGTTCTAAACTAGAAGTGGTAGAGTTGGCAGATGTAGAGACTGGATGTAGGTAATCAACTTATTTTGGATATTGTAGCAGTTAGTCTCCAGATTATCACAGTCATTGCTTACAGGCTGGATTAGGTTCATAAATACCCTGCAAAGCCAAAATGTACTCCAGTGACACTCTCTTGAGCCAGCTGGGCTCTGCCATACTACAATTACTTTAAAAGTCTGAATGCCAAATGTCTCTGGCAAAAATCTTGTGACCATAGTGTTAATGCCATCTAGAAAAACATAGGGCCAACTGCTTTGTTATGTCTAGCTTAAGTAATGTCTAGCTTAGATTGGAAATATTAGATGAGATCATGGCGTTTCTCAAATTATTTCCTTCTTAAGAGCCTCAAAATAGCAATGGCAAAATCCTGGCTCTGTTGATATCAGTAGGAAAATGCTCAAACTGTTAATAATAGATAAAAGAGGATGTGAAATTCTTCAAACTGTCAAGAATTTAAGTGGCCTGTGCCTGAACAAAATAAGGAGAGAGTAGTTACAGCATTTTAAACTTGTGCCTTGCCTGAAGAAATGTGACTAATCCATTGGTTGCCCAAATTCAAGCTATTTTTAGCTTGCAGAAAAGCTTTTCCATAGTATTAACTACAGCTGGCTTCCTTAGCAAGTATTATCTTGAACCTTACTGTGATCTTCTCACAGCTCAGTGATTCGTATTTAAACTTTCAGGCCAAAAAATTCTCAGGTCAGTCTAAACTAGTTTACTTCTTTACATTTGGACGGCTTTAAGCTGTTTCAGATCTAATCTGTTCTAGACTATTCCTGCTCAAGATGAAAAATACCTAGGCAGTATCCCTATATTTCCACTATGTTTGGATTAAATTTTGTACTTTTTTTCTTCAGTATTTGACTTCTCCAGTGGTAGATTATGTGGTTCAACCTTGATCAACTTCCAGTGGTTATGAGTAATTTGTTGTTTTACCATTAATTCTTTCTGAAGTAGGTACGTGTGAATATATATTGAATATATATTGAACATATGAATATATATGCCAAGAAAATTTACATGCAAAGTTATATGCCGCCTATAACTTAAAACACCACAGTACTTCTTGTGGCTTTCGCCTCACGTTTCACAATCCTCATATAGTTAAATAATGCGGTTCTATTAAATTTGGTATAGGTTTCCCATTTTATGCTGTTTGCAAGGCTGACCCCAGGTGCATCTTGTGGCCAAGGTTTAGATTCAGGCCGGTTCCTTCTGCAGAAATTGTGTGATGTCTGTGGGAAAATAATGTTGTTTCTTTAATCCTCCACTTCCCTCTGGAGTTTTCCTTCCTTCGTAACAGTAAAGGTTTCTCCTGTAATTAGCTGCACTTGTATATTATATTGCTTTTATACTATATAGAGATCATCTTTGTCTTGTAAATACTGATTCACAAATTATATGATTAATTGGTCAGTTTGGTTATATGATTAAGGACCTCCTAACTCTATAGCTGACACAACAGCCCAAGGATGTCAAGAAAATTGATACTAATGAAGAATTACTGGTGGCATAAGAAGGTTAAAGGACAGGACTAGAAAACTGTGACCCCGGCTGAAGAGTTGTCTATCTCAGCCTTTGCAATCAATGTAGATGCAACAGTGTCTATTCAACTGTTGTCATTCAAAGTAAAATACTGAAAAACTGATCCCACTGGCAACAACGGACTGATGTTGATGATTGCCAACTACCAGGAGAAACGTCTTGTGAGAAGCAGAGAGGAAGATCAGAATTAGATTAGAAGTGGGAATCCAGGTGCATGTTCAGGCAAAGGATCAGGGCCTGCAGCAACATATGTACCATAATGTTTGTGGGAGGGATGTGACAGAGCTGTGCTAACCGTGGTGTTAGGGTCCTCTGTCCTCTTTCTGCAGGTGAAGGTGCAGAGGCCTACCATGTACAGCCCAGAATTCACTTGCATTGTACTTTGTGCCAGCCCTTCTATCTAAATCATTCCTGGAAAACACTGGGTACAGGAAGTTTTCAGAATTCCTAGCAGAGTAGGTAATATAACTTAATCAGCCTCTCAGAGTTCACATCTCTACTTCCCAGACAGGTTCAGTCGCAGTTCCCCTGGCTATTGTTCAGCTTTCCTGATCTGTCGACTTTTTTTCTTCTTATAAAGTAGGTGTTTAGTAGGATAGGCAGATTTTTCAATGAAGAAATTTTAATAACATTGAGACATGGCTGTTTTTATTTAGATATGTCCTCATAGGCAGATGCAGACCGCTCCTGATAGAATTTTTTAGATTGGGCACAGATTCTAAGCTCCTTGAAACTGGTTTGTCTCCAGTGACTTAAAATGCATCTTTTTTCTCTTCTGAACACTAAAATGGGTTGTCATGCCTTGAAAGGATCTAGCTACTTTGGCATAAATAATTGGCCTGACAGCAATACACAGAGCTGCTACGTGACTCAGACTTTACTTGCATTCATACTTTTGTATAACTATACATTAGTGCTCTTATCTTTCTGTTCCTTTGAGCTGATGTGGTACAGCGCTTCTCCGTGGCCTCTCGCTAGCTGGCAGAAAGGATACAAAATGGTAAGATCAGAAGCTGAGAACTAGTTTAGTCACCAGGGAGTTTCTAAATTCTGCAGTTAGGCCTTCTGTGTATGAATTACACAAAAATAAACTTTGTCTGATGGGTATAGTGATGCTATTAAAGGGTATTCATACAGTGTTTTGAAAATGTGAAAGTGCACACGTACTGTAGTAGATGGTAAGAGAACTTAAATTTAACTTCTATCACTATCCTGTTTTATTGTGTTACTTTACTCTCATAGCAGCGCTCAGATCTGGGTGAGGCACTTCTCAAGAGACAGGATGAGTCATGTCCTTGGGAACTTACTGACTGCCTTCAAACAAAACTTAATAAGCAATGTAGCAGGGAAAGGGAGGAGAAAATACTAACGCTAGAACACCACATTGCAATGAAACATAATACACAACGAAAACAAACTAAAGATTTTTTTCATAATTTAAAAGGCTGAAAGGAGAACGTTTAATTTAGCTGTCACAGAAAAAAAGTGTTTATAAAATGGCAGAGGCGACTTAATGAATTCAGGAGAGGATGACTGATGAAACTGAAAAGGCAATTGGAAATGGAGTTTTAGTTTTGAAGAGAAACAAGGATTATAAACCAAACATCAGGAATATGACAAGGCACAATGATAAAGAAAGTTTTAGCAGTCTGTACTAACTCAAAAAGGGAAGTCATATGGACACATTGAAAAGCAAAAGACCACCAGTGTGGCAGCTGTCATTTAGATGGCTCAGAAGTAGAGTGATAGAGTGGTAAAAGAGAAATGAGATGACATGCACACATCATTTAGTTGCTCCTTCTCTAAATAGGCACACTGTCGTACAGACACGAGGTTCAACATACTGCAGTGCATTTGCTTCTTAAGCGTTCCAGTGCTCTGAGGCAACGGGATAAAAAAGGTAAAACTTAAGCCATCATAAAAAAAAAAAAGGAGGGTATTATACTTGCTGCAGAATTTTATTTTTCAGTATCGCTACCTTTAGTGCCCTATAGCAAGCAGTAGAGTCCAGCATACCCAGCTGAGCTGAAAGTACCCGTAGTGGGGCTCACATCATCAAATAAGCTGAATATTTGCAGTATATTTAAATATTAATTCTAAAAAAGCCCTCTATCAGCAATAAAGTTAAAGGTCCGACTTAAAGCAAGGTTTACTTACCAGACCAAAACCAAAATTCAGGAGGTAGTGGAGAAGGTAAAGCTTTTTGCGCTGAGTAAATTCACGAGGGATTTCTGCCTTGGGATGTTCATAGTAGAATGCTGTTGCCACAATGACAGTCAAAACAACAAGAAAAATTGCTAAGAGAAGTTCCATCTCACTGGACTGTTCAAAGTGAAATGGAAGAACCAGCTGTGACCACCTTGTACCTCTGACTTTTGAAGTATTTCTGAAGATAAAGGTGCAGGATTAGCAATTCTCTTCATATCCTGTCATCTGGCTTATAAAAATGCCAATAGGAAGGTAAAAACATGTAGCAATCAAACCATACAATTAAGTAGACTAACAATTATATATAGGAGTGGCTTGCATAAGCAGTTTTTCAATTTACATCTAATGTGTTTTGATTCTGTGCCCATCACCATAGAACCAGTGCTTGACATATCTATAGCATCAGCTACGAGAAGACAAAAACCTGTTATGTCTCTCCCGATTTCTTGAATAAGTCAAGTCTGTATTATTCCTTAGTTCTTGTGGAACAGGATTTCTTGGTAATCACCTTCAGAGCTGCTCAGTTTCTTGATTTATTTTGCCCCTACAGCTTATTTCTCCAGACTTCTAACAAAATCAAGTTTTTCAGCTCACAGAAACACCTCTTGACATTTTATTCCGTCATATGAAACTCCTTTAGTTTTAGAGAGAGGCACTACCTCCCTCTGTTGTTAGCCACAGTACCAATAAGAAGGCATTTAATAGGATATTTTAGGTATCTCACATTAACTCTGTGTATCCTAAATATATATATAAACAAATAAATATGGAAATGTCAGCCTGAACATATTAGGAATACATATGTAGGCATACATACACAGACATATACACCTCAGTTGAAAATGTGTATATTTTACCTGTCTGAAAATAGGGGAAATTTTCAGATTTCCTGATCTTCTAGCTTAGAATGGAGCCTTTTCAAGGCAAGGACGGTATTTTCAGTTCATTTTTGTACAGCACTGCTATGATTCATTATTGAGAGCCTTCAAACATTACTGCACTATTGCTAAAATAATAATGGAACAGCTGACAGCAAACCCAGAAGAGAAGAATTCACAGCTGTCTCAGTTGCTAAAATCTAACTCAGTCAATTTCTAACAGCATCATTTCAGAAGGCTATAGCTGTGGTTATATAATACTACATAAGAGTATTATCAGATGAGGATTTGCTCCACTGAAGTCAATAGAGGTTGATTTTTATTAGCTTTGGTTTGGAGTCTGAAGTTAGAGATTGATCTCAAATAATGCACAGCAGTTATGTATTAAGAGGTATATTACATGCAATGCATATTATATGTAGCACATAGAAAATGAATTTCTGATAAGAGTTACAGACAAAACCTAGTCAAATGGAAGTCGTGTCCAGACCGTTACAGCCCTTGGTGAGAACTCCTCAGTTTTCAAGTCAGATTGATCCTGATTGTATTTCTCCTTCTCAGAGGGCCAGTGTAATATTCATGCGGTATCCAGATTTGACCAAAGCAAAAATTTAAGGGATTTTAAGTGGTGACTAGTCACAGTGCTTTCTGCAGGGATGATTTTCACAGAGTAATTTAGTATTAGAGTCTGTAAAGCTGGAAGCGAACACAAGCAGCCCGTTCCCAATAGTTCCCTTCTTTGCGATTATCTTGGCTTCTAACCTCCAGCTCAAACCAGAATTGCCCTTTGGGATGCAACTTGATTAACTTCCTGATTTTGCATGCAGTTACATCTTTGACTCTAACAAAGCAGTTGCAACCTAGAGTGTCAGGGCTTTGCATTTTGCTTGTTGCTCCGTGGCTTCTGCCCAGCAGGTGGAAACGTATATCAACTATACCATTTGCTTCCCCTCCACCTCAGCCTCTTGGTTGAACCTCAGGATACTGCAGTGTCTCTGTCTTCTCATGAACACCTTACTTACAGGTGTTGTTCCAAATACAAATATGATTCCAGCCAAACCTGGACTTGATGTTTTCATGTCTAGTAAGAATGACTAGATATTAGCAGCCCACTCTGTGTACCTAATGGTGAGCTTCAGCATCTCTGCCTTACCTGTGGAACTAATGTGCTCATATTATTCAGTAAACAAATCATTAGTGCCAAGATTTCCCCAGAAAAAAAAAAAATCCCTAAAGCAAAGCCTTTTCAGCTCATGTTACCTTTGGGAACAGTGATTTTCATTTTTAACTGTCTACCCAAACTGTGTCTGTAGGCAGCAAATTCTCACTCTCAAAAGTAGCAGTGTGGGTAAAATGATTGTATAAAATTGTTTCATCAAAAACAAGAGTACAAGGGATCCGTGCTGAACTAGGGATATATCTTAGAATAAAACTTAAGTTCAGAGAATGTGAAAGCTCTAGGGTGCACAACTCATGACCTGCACTGGAAGGACGACCTCAGACCTTGATTCCTGACTCTAAAAAACATTGCTTAAAATTAAAAAAGAAGGAACTTTATTTTAGAGCCTGGGTATGCCGTCCAGAAGAAGCTGATCTGATGTTCTGCTCCCTCCGCCCAAACTGTTTATTCGTTTTAGCTAGCAACCTTTCAGGGACTGTTCTTTCCCCGCAACCCCTTTGCCTTGCCAGAAGGTTATTCCCATGAGTATAAAATCAGGTTCCTTTTTGTTTATTCTTTCTTGTGACGCTTGATACAGCATCCCAGCTCGATAAGGAGTATTGATGAAAGGCACTTTGCCTGTTGCCTGGTGATTGGGACACTTGGGAAATGGAAGGAGTAAGTTCAAACCCATCAGGACTGAGATGCATACAAAACTCAGCTTTCTCACAGCTGGGGCAAGAACATTAGGAAATACTGTTGCACAAAACATGGTTGCAGCTGCCTTCTTTAGCATTTAATAGTGAAAGTAACTAATCAGCTTTGTGCTAAACTTCATGCTGTCCCAATGGAGTTAGGTGTGGTCTAAGTGTGCCTATCAGACTTGGCCCCCCTGGCAATTTAAGCAGTGTGCTGACACGTGATGGTTTCCTTTGTTCTAAGGTTCTTCCTACCTTACTGCTTATTTGCCTTCCAAATCTTTTTGGTGCCCGTCCCATTGGTAGCCAGTTTACCAAGAGCTGCTAAGACTTGGGCTCTTTTGGGCATGTTAGCTAGGTCCAGATGTCACAGCACCCCACCAACACCACGTCATCGCTATCAGAGCTTCCACGTAGATTTCCTCTCTACTGGGATGTGGATGTTAGCAGTAAAAGAAACAAGCTAGTTGGTTTCGGAAGCAGTGGATTGGTTTTATTTGGGCATTGCAGGTACAAGGAGTAACTCCTCAAGCATAGACTCAGCAATTTGTAAGCTTACTTGAGTCACAGGAGGGGGATGCAGTCCCTGAACAACCTTTCAAAGGCATACTCTCTCTCACCCAATTTTAAACTTTTTACTTACTCTCTAGGCGAGACCAGAGGAGTTGGTCCCTGCGGCTAAAACTCGGCTCTCCTGTTGCACTCCCCGGAAAGGGTGCCCAGGAACTCCCTTTCTTATTTATTCCCAGTGACAAGCTAAATGTCAGTGGCTGAAATCTTTTTTGTCAGCACTGGGGTGGCATCCATAAGCTTTTACAGTCTTGGTGGAGAGGGCACGCGATAAAGGACAGAGAGACTGAGGCAACCACAACAAACATGAAACATTCCCTAATATAGTCTTCAGTCGGCCCCAATAACTCTGCCTGTCTCTGAATCACGGTGCTGTTTAGGTGGCACCTAGGTTCTTATCTGCCTGGACTCAGACACTCTGCGTGTGACTAGATGCCTGGACCCAGGTAATGGGAAACTGTGTCCTGAGAGAGGTGCTGCTTGACCTTAGTGGTTTCTTCTGAGTCATGTGGCGTGAGAGCCATCTGGTGCTTGAAAGCTGATTGAACTAGCCTAGTGAAGACAAATCCTGAGCAACATATCCAGAATGCCATTACCTGTAAGCTGAGAGAAAATATCTGTTAATTGCTTATTTTATGCAGCAACTTTTCTGTGTGCACTTGCATTTCTGTGTATTTCTTTGTGTGCATAACTGCTTGTGCAGGCCTAATTGCTTGTGCAAAGACATTTTTGTGCATAATTCTGTAAGCAGATTGCAAGTTTGTGTTTGGGTGTGTTTAAGTACTTGACTGTAATTCGTTGAATATGCAGGCAGTGAGAAGGATATGCTGTCAGGAAGTGTCTAGGTAAAGAAGCTAAAAAAAATGTTCTATATCTTTCCCT